CCCACTACCAACATCCTGTAGGATTGCCATTAATCAGAAATTGAACTGGATCAGCCCTATAAATACTGGTTACAGGGACAGCAAGGAGTTCTCGGGTGAGTAAGTCACCTCCTGCCCACCACTACCTGGCCATTATCTACAAAGTACAATTTAGCAATGTAATGGAATATTTTCCGCTTGCCTAGATGAGTTCAGTTTCAATACTCAATGAATTTGATATCTTCCAGAGCAAAGCAACCGGCTTGATTGGTACCACATCCAGAAACATTCACTCTCTCCAATACCTATGCATAGTAGCAGCAGTGCGTACCTGCTACACAATGCACTGCAGAAATTCACTAAAGCAACTTCCCAATTCACAACTACTACCATCTAGAATGACAAAGGCAGCAGATACTTGTGAACACTATCACCTACAAGTTGCCCTCCAAGTCACTTGGTATCATTCAGTGTCACCATGTTAAATTGCTGAAACTCCTTCCCTGACAGTATTGTGATTGTACCTATCCAAAATGGACTCCAGCTAATCCTCACCTTCTCAAGTATTACTAGGGATGGTCAATAAATGCTGGTCCAACCTGGGAAGACCATATCTTGTGAATACATTTAAAACAAAATGACTACAAATTTTCCAAATCTCAACGAGATTTCCTGTCTAACAAGTTACCAACGTTAAATTGAAACAATGCACAATGGGTTAACTTTAAAGGACAAGCACCTGTTGATATGATAGACATTGCTACAAAGGAGGACGTAATACCCAGGTCTTTTGTTCTTTGAGGTCCCTTAACCTGTTCTGCCTATGGTCCATAGGATATCATCAATGCGGGTGGTGCAAATGGCACTCCTCAGTATTAACCCTTTCAAACTTTTATGTCCTTGGAGAGATTAGAAGAGTGAGGGGCGACTTGAGATTAAGACCCTTATTGGTCTTGACAAGGGGGGTTTATAAAGGATGTTTTCTTTGATCGAGAACTAGAGGACATTGTTTTAAAGTTAGTGGCCACCTTTTCAGGACCGAGATAAGATGTTCTTCCCTCGGAGACTTTGGAGTTCTTTGCCATAGAAGATGGTGGAGGCAGTGTCATTGAATATTTTTAAGACAGAGGTGGATAGAATGTTGTTGGGCAGTGAAATCAAGTGTTAACATGGGTAGGTGGGAATGTGGAATTCAAAAAACAAACCCATCAGTCATGATTTTGCTGAGTGGTGCAGTGCTCCGGGGGCCGAATGGCTTCTATTTTGTATGTGTCATCTCTGCATAAGATTGATAACTTATGGCAAATATAGTATTGTATTGCTTTCAAGCCCTATGCCTTTCATAAGTGTGTTTATTAGAAAGCAAATTTATTTATTGGAGTGATAAACATTCATTCTAATCACTAATGTAGAACAAATTCCAACTCAGATTAGATAAAATAATATCAGTGAGATAAAAGAACAGTGCTAACTTAGTGCAAACTGGAGTCCAATTACTGTGACAATCCAACTTCCTTAATTGGATGGAAAATAAACCCATACCTTAGTTGTCCATTCAACTAATGCTGAAGGTTTCTGACATTTACCATATTTGTAAGTCAAAGAAAATTTCAAAGAGTAGAGATAATATATATTGCAATGTTGACTGAACTTTAGTACAAAAGCATGTTAATTTCAAATGGATTAGTGATAAAACACATAATCCTTGCATGAAACATTACCGAAATAGACTGGCAGGCACATGAATTCCACCTCAACTATAATTCTGTTTTGAAAACCTGACCAGTTATAGACACTTCATGATGGACATCTTGTTTACATTAATCAATTCTTTGTTTTACAAGCATTATTATAAATATCATCAGTTATTTGATTTATTAGTGAGTTTACCGAGGCATTGCTCACAATAACAATGTTTTCTGAAGAAAGAAACATTAGATGTACTGTACTGAGGTTTGTTGGCTTGCTTATCGAGCTGGCTGGTTTTGTCACCATGCTAGGTAACATCAGCAGTGCGGCCTCCAATGAAGCGATGTTGTTCTCCTCCGCTTGGAATTTATATGATCTGATCTGTTAGGTTGGATTATGTTATTTCCGGTTCTTTTTTGCATGGGTTGGTATGCGAGCTCTAATTCCACATGTTTGTTGATTGCATTATGGGTTGAAAACCAGGCCTCTAGGAATTCCCGTGCATGTCTATGGTTGGCTAGAGCTAGGATGGTCACGTTGTCCCAGTTAAATTGATGGCCTTCATTATCCGAGTGCACTGAAATGAGGGGAAGTTCGTCAAGTCATTTTGCTGATAGCTGGTGTTCGTGTATCCTGATGGCTAGTTTCCTTCCAGTCTGGCTGATGTAATGTTTGTTGCAGTCGTTGCAAGGTATTTTGTCAACTACATTGGTCCTGAATGTCATGGGTATGGGGTCTTTGGTCCTTGTTGTAGTGTAGCTGTGAGTTTGTGTGCTACCGTGGCTCCAAAGAGTACCCAACAGGTCCACACTAACCCTCCAAAGAGCATCCCACCCTACCCTATCCCTGCATTTCCCATGACTAACCCTACCTAGCCTGCACATCCCTGAACACTATGGGCAATTTAGCATGGCCATTCCACCTAACTTGCACATCTTTGGACTGTGGGAGGAAACCGGAAACCCACGCAGACACGGGGAGAACATGCAAACTCCACACAGACAGTCAGCCAAGGGTGGAATTGAACCCAGATTCCTGGAGATGTGAGACAGCAGTGCTAACCACTGAGCCACTATGCCACCCCAAATGAATGTGATAATAAAACAAGGAACTGTGGATGCAAGAGATCTGAAACAAACAAAAACCGAAATTACTGGAGAAACTCAGCAGATTCGAAGAAGGGTCACTGAACTCAAAACATTAGCTCTGTTTTCTCTCCACAGACACTGCCAGAGCTGCTGAGTTTCTCCAACAATTTCTGTTTTAATTAATGAATGTGAATCACTTAACCACTGCTACAATGGGTCTTTCAGTGGCCCAGAAGTATGCTGTCTAATCTTGAGCAATGGTTCCCAAACCTTTCCCTTTGTGACCCCATTTCGTGCTTGACATTAGCCATGATGTCTAGGATTGGTGTGGCAGGGGTGGGAAGAGACTTGAGAGAGTGCAGCAGGGATGGAGATCTGTGAGAACAAGGGAGTTGAGAGATCTGTGAGACAGGTACATGGAAATAACTCCATATGGTTTGTTTAACACAACATTCAAGCCTCAAGGTTTAGCTGATTAGGTCACATCAATCTGACAATTTAAATTGGCCGTGTAGCTTTTAGCACTCAGACTTAAGAGCTCCATGGCATCCATTGCTCTTCAGAGCTCACAACCACAAACCGTTCAGGCTGTGACAGTTTGGGAAGTC